TAAAAAGCCAGAACAAGCTTCTTGGGTTCCTGGACACAAGGTTAGTAGCCAATAATGGTCACTGTGGGTGAACAGCAGCACCTGCAGGCCCAGGCCTGTGCTGTACATTCTGGTGGCTGCACCTTCTTGTGGCTGGGGGCTGTGGGGCTCCTTCTTGGCCCCAGGCAGCGTCTCCACCTGTGAGCCTTGAGGCAGGAGGCTGGGCCGGCTGGGATCCGCCCATTTAAGGCAGTAAACACTGTCAGCCACAGGGCTTTCCCACCTGCTATTTTTCTATTGTGCTCCTAGTCTCACACTTCTCTTTTCCAACAAAGGAGGGTAGAATGTTCTTTAAACAAGGTTTATGGAATACTAGATTCCTGGCTGAGTTTTAGGCAGTCTACAGTGTGTTGATATGGGATGTCTACAAGATAACAGCAAACAGTGAAATTGTTAATGCTTCCTTAACGCCAGCTTAAAAAAAAAAAAAAAAGGAAGATGGAGGAAGATACATGTTGGCCCCGCAACACAGAAAACCTGGGCCAGCCTCACCTGGGGAGAGTGGCTGGGAGGTCAGGGGTGAAGGGAGATTTACTTTCACATTTTTGAGTGTTTTGATTGTTTTGAAAAGACTTTTTTTCAAGAGTAGTTTTGGGTTACAGCAAAACTGAGCAGGAGAGATTTCCCACACACCCTCTGCTTCACAAGCATGATGTTCACATGAACTGCACTATTCAAAAAATTGATTGAAACGATAAAAAAAATATTGAAAAAAGAATCAATTGCTTTGTAACTGATTTGTTGAAACTTCTGTGTGAAATTACTTTTCCTTTGGTTTCCTGGTTGACACTTCTGGAAGTTTGTGCATCTTTGTAGAATAAAATTTCTCAACAGTGCTTCTTCAAACTAATTCTCTAACTCCATGAAGACAGGGGGATAGATTTTTGTTTTTGTTTTGTTTCTCTTGGGGTTTGAGATCACACACAGTCTTGCACCTGCTAGGCAAGTGCTCTAGAGTGAGATACATCTCCAGTCCTTTACTTCAACTCTTATCAATGCTGCTTGGACTAAGTGATAAAAAATATACTTAACAGTAAAGCTTAGAATTTCCTGCACAGCTATCTGGGATCTGGGTCTCAGTTCTTTCCGCTAACTTGTTTCATCTAAGAGCAACCAGTGATACAGTGGTACCCACCTTGTTCTAACCAACAGCAACTCTGAGCACAGGGAAGTTTTATCACTTGTCTCCAGCCACACAACCAGAAGGGGCATCTAGGCAGTGGGTTACAAAGCCTAGGCCTTGGCCACTGCCCTGAATAGCCTCTTGGGAGATCAGCTTCAAGATGCTGCCCATGGGGACTTCTGCAGACTTGGGAGCTGGTGTAGCTCAAGGCCACCGGTATCCACGAACTCCTTACAGAAATGGGCACTCTGCTTACTTCTGTTAGAGCTATCCTGAGCAGAGTAGTATGCAGAAAACCTTGTAATTTGAAAGTAGTTTTCCTACTTCTTTACAACAAATGGCTCCTAAAGGAACAGAAAGCTTAAATGGACTCTCACTCATTTATACTGTTTAGAAACTGTTAACAACTCAAAGTCTCTTATGGCTGAAGATACATGCTTCCACTGTTCCTTTATTCATCCAAGTGAACAAATGTGTACAGTATAAACACTACCATTATTACGAATGGGATCTTCCTTTCTCTAGGCAAAGAAACCATGAGATAATTACTACAAGCATGCATAAATACCATTTAAAACACTAAACTAGGGCTGGGGTTGTGGCTCAGTAGTTGGGTTCGATGCTCAGCACCATGTAAAAATAAATAAATAAAATATTGTGTCCATCTACAACTAAAAAAAATTTTTTTAAAACCCACTAAACTAAAAAATAATTAAATTCTAGGTCTGAGAATTTATCTATTTGAGAAACCTTCTCTAGAATTAAAGTAGTAATGACAAGAATGGCCATGAAATTTGAGATAGGATCCAGTCTCACTCATCTGAACCACTATTTACCTCCTCTAATTATGCAATTACCTCCTCGAATTATGATGAAGTTATGAATCTTCTTCTAAGAGAGAGTCACCATGTCCTCACAGGCAATAGACTACTAGAATTTCAGCGAGCTCACAGACCCCAGTCAACAAGCCTAGGGGCTGGGCTGTGAAATCAGGAGCCTCTACTGCTGGGTTCTGCAGCTCAGTTTCCTTGGCCTCAAGCAGTCCTACTACAGAAGCTCTGCCTTTCCTGTGTGGAATCAAGTGGCATAAGGAACTTCTGGAGGAGAAAACAGCACAGCTAATCAACAGGGGTCTTTAAAGTGATAGTTGTAATATTCCTACCCAGAAAACTATTTTCTACATCAAACTTGGACTTTAAAAGAATTTGCAGGTGGCAACTTCAAACAATTTAAACATAAAGTAAAAGATAATTCCCATTTGAAGTGGGATTTTGAATCAAAGGATGGAACTATCAAAGAGACATCTGACTAACACCTGAAGTCTCTGGGCTTAAGTGGAAGTCTATTTGAATTCATAAAACAACAATTACAATGCCAAGGACTTAATTAGATAAATGACAGAAACAGAAATGAGTTCAGAGACCTGGAACAACAAAGTAAGGAGAAAGACCCTGAGGAGACCCTCCTGGTTTAAACAACTAAAATGCTGAGTGAAATAAAAAAACATGTTCTAAAAAAATAAGCCACAGGCTGCCCAAGAGGTTAGCAGACTGATTCCCCATGTGGAAACAGGACTTGGGCCTTGGGAGGTGGGTGAGCACAGCCTTCCCGAGCTTCCACAGAACCCTGGAGAGCCCTCCATTGGATTTCACCACAGTCTAAGGTGAAAGATCAGCTTCAGCTTCAATCCAGTGACAAGAGACTCTCCACAGATGAGAAGAAAATGTCTACCCTGTCAAAAATCAACACACAGGCTGGGTGTGGTGGAAAACACCTGTAATCCCAGTGGCTTGGAAGGCTGAGGCAGGATCACAAATTCAAGGCCAGCCTCAACAATTTAGTGAGGCCCTAAGCAATCAAGAACCTGTCTCAAATAAAACATAAAAAGGGCTGGGGATATGGCAATCCCTGGTTCGGGTGGGGGCGGGGAGGGGCGGAGAGACACAGAAACTGATAATTATTAGTAACAAACGATAAAAATGACAAAGACTTTATATACTGGAATAATCAAAATATAACATAACCATGATTATATTTACAGAAATAAGATGTAAGTTTTGGAAAAACCAACAGGGAAAAACAGACAATAAAAAAATGGCCAAGGAGATTCTACAAAAGAAAAAAAGAGAGAACTTGAAATAAAAATTCAGTAGATGGATTAGATAGATTAAGCAGAGCTGAAGAGAAAAAATTCAGCAGAAGACAGAGTGGTAGAGATTATCAAGATCTACAGACAGAAGACAATGAGCGGTTAAAGCAAAATGGAAGACAGAACGAGGTCTAATGTACCTCTGTTAAGAACAAGGACAGCAAATGGGAAGAGCCAAGGTGACTTCTAAAATGGCTGGGTGACCACAGAAAAGAAAATGGTAAAGAATGTAACTTCAAACTAGAGAGAAGTGGAGGGGGAAAGAAAAGCAAGAAAGGAGGACTTCTCCCCACTCCTCAAAACCATGGCATGGAGAGCCTGGGCCAGCAGGGAGAGGAGGGCCGGGTCCCGCTGCCTCCCAGAGGGCAAACTGCCCACGAGGATGAGTCGTGAGTGTGTCCTGGGCACATCTGCCAGGAGGGCTGGAGGCACCCCAGGCTTCTATCAAACCCTCAAGAGTTTCTTCTAGGAAGTGCTTGGTGAGGAGGAAGACCATGTCTGCTAAAGAGAAAGGAAAATGAGAAGTCACGAAAGGCGGACAGGCCTGTGGCAGAGAATGAAAACCTAGATCCTTCTGCAGGGAAAACAAAAAAGAGGAGGACCCAGTGCACCCAGAGACCTCCTATGGCCTTTTCCACATTTTGTTCTGAGTTTCGCCCTAAAACTAACGGAGATATCTCAGCTTTCTCGCTGGGACTGGAGCTGCAGAGAAACCAGGAAAGGTGTGGATGATGCTGCTGCCCAGGGCAAGGCTGCTGAATGGAGGGGCCACCCCGACACCTGGGCTGCAGTGAACCAGATGCTGGAAGAAGAGGAGAGGAAGACCACCACAGAAGGCGGCCAAGAGGTTCAGTTTGCTTCCAGAGCAGTCCCCCCTCATCTATGAAGCTCCTGTACACTATTCACTCCTTTTCAACAAAAATATTGCAATGCAAGGATGTGTAAGGTTGGTCTTGAAAAGTGTCTTTCTTGTATAGTTTGCACATGTTAAGACATGAGTCTTTTGATTACCTTGTTCTGGTGATAACTTCAATAGCCATTTAAACTTGCCCAGCTCAGTGTGGGGTATAAACGGCCTGAGAATTTAAACTTATCTCTGATGCAGCTTCTATATAATAATCTTTGTTAAAACTGTGACTCAACTGAAAAAAATAAAAAGAAAAAGACCTTGCAGCTGTTTTGTTGACATTCTAAATGCTTCTTAAAAAAAAAAAAAAAAAAAAAAAAAAAACTTCTTTTTGTACTGGGAATTGAACCAAGGGGTATTTTAACACAGAGCTACATCTCCAACACCCCTTTTTATTTTGGGACAGAAAATACTGTCAGCAAGTTGCTGAGGCTGGACTTTCCAATCCTCCTGCCTCAACCTCCCAAGTCACTGGGATTACAGGGATGTGCCACCATGCCTAGAAATCAACAAAATTAAAAAAAAAAAAACATAAAATGGGAATTGAGCAAGACAACATGGGTCTCTAAAAGATAAATGTTGAAGGAAAGCATTCACAGAATAATACAGTGTAGTTCTCCTCCTATAAGGCCAAAAACCTGACAATATTTAACAATATACTGTTTGGGGATAAACACACAAAATAAAGAAAATAACATAAAATTCAAGGCAGTGGTGAGCTTGAAATAGAGAAGGTAAGAATGTAATTTGGGAGGTATAAAGAGGGCGTCCTGAGATACCAGTAATATTCCATTTCATAACCCAGGTAGTGGGTATGTGGGTGTTTTATTCTTTTGCATAAAGTATTTTTTAAAAGACACAAAAAATACAGTACATAAAATATATAGCACATAAAATATCATATATATACACACATATTAAAATATAATTAATTTACACACAGCCAAAAGGTAGGGCACACTGGAAGCCCCTTCATGAAAAGCCCTGGCCTCCTGAAGGGTGCCTTGTCAAATTTGCAGAAGGTTTTCCTAAGCTGAGTCACCTAATATGATGCCAAGAAACGAACAGCAGCTCAGCAGCTCTGAAGGTGACTGAGTTCTTGAGCTCCTTCAGTCTTGGGCAATGCATCCCCGAAGTGGGAGGGCTCAGTGAGAAAGCCAAACTGACATCTGACCAGCTCTGGTACAAACACAGGCAAATGAGTGGCAGCCCCATCCCTCTTGGAGTAATAGAAGTTTCAGCTGGTGGGGTGGAAGCTGTTGGGGGATGAGCCCCCGGCCCCTGCTTCTAAACAGAGCTGCCTTATCTTTATTCATTGTATACACAGGGCCTCTGAATACAGGTCTGTTTGAAGGACTCCACCTGGAAAAAAGTGTGAACAGAATTTAGAGCAATCTCATCTTTGTGGAGTTGGGAAGAGAAGGCAGATAACTGTTCTCAATGCTTTCACTTTATAAATGCAAAAACAGACGTGATGGTTATAAATTAAGTAATACTAATTTGAGGGAGATTATGGACTTTAAAATGTACCACTCACAGTGACCCAAATGTGCACCCAACAAGCTATTTGCACTGCAGCAATTTTTAGGATTGAGAAGAGATACCTCAAGGCCATATGACAAACAGCGAGAGATGGCCTGAAGCCCACATACGCTGAGCTGAGCTGAAGCCAGCCTCCTGCTCAGCGCTCTGTCTGGGCTTCTTCCCACTTACACAGCAGTGATCCCTCCTGGCTGGGGGAGTTTCCCATCTCCATCAACTCATTAACCTGAAGGCTCAGAGACAGTGGAGGAGCTAATGATAAGTGGTCTGAGCTCATCTGAGGCAAATTAACTTAGGCCAACCTCAGCAAGAACTCTGGTCCCTGGTCTCTGGTCCCCCTGGAGCTCTCTGCTACACCCACCTAACTTGCCAGTGTTGCTGGAAAGGTCGAGCAGCCAGTCTGTCCAAGAACATAATGACTGGTTCACTGTTCTCTTGTTCGCCAGCCCTGAACAACTGGCACGTGGGTGGGTCCTTGCTGGGAGACACCGTACTTGCAACTGTGCTAATTAGGCAGCTAAAAGACAAAGGAATGTTTTTTGAAATGGCACACCATACACATCTTGATTAAATGAGGACTGAAATTAGTATCTGGACACAGCTGAATTTCACTGACAACTGGTTGGTTGGAATATAAGAACGAATTTGAAAATTCTAGCCCCCAAATTTGGGTTACAACTTAACTATAAGAATGGTTAGAATTTTCCAAAGGAAAATGATAACTTCCTGATCCTCATCAGAGGCTTCATTCACTAACTCTTGTGGTATCTGCACATTGAATCTACATAGATGTTTTTACCTGAAGGTGACAGAAGAACATGTTTTTTTTGACTGGTGCTACCAAATTGAATGTTCTATCAACAAAGATAAATGACTTGTTTTCAAGCCCTAGACTTGAAAGTTTTGTGCAGTGCCTCAAGAAGCTGTTTCCAGAAGCACTTAAAAATTGTTGCCACATGGGCTGCAGTTGTGGCTCAGTGGCAGAGCACTTGCCTAGCATGTGTGAGGCCAAGTTTGATTCTCAGCACCACATATAAATAAATAAATAAAATAAAAAAGCCCACTGAGAACTAAAAAATATTTTAAAAAAATTGTTGCCAGATTCATTTCCAGTATTTTGTATTCCTTGCATCCTTAAATTCTTAGTCATTTTTCTTAGCTCTAAAGTTTTTCCTGAGTTTAGCTAATATTCTATTTCCCAATTTTATTATAAAAACTTTTAGATTCAGCTTTTTGATTACAAAATTAACTAATGCTTTATTGGACTGCAACATACTTACAGTTCATTTAACTGACAAAACACCTAAAATGCTCACCTGTACTTGAAATTATTATCTGTAATAAATCCAAATGCCACACTTGAGCTACCAAAGCTGTCTTACTGATCAGGTGGATCTCAGTAGCCTCTGTGATCAGTCACTAATCAAACACTAAATCAAGGAGGCTGGGACTTTTCAGTTGCTTTCATTTCCGTACTGGGCTGAGGTTGAAGGCCTTCACAGTCTGTCTTCCTTTTTACTCCCCTGAAGCTCACATGTCAGCAAGGATGTTTTCCTAATGTAACTTCCAGTTCCTTTGGGTTGCCATTGGTTCTCATCTTCTGGAGTCTCATACTTGCTGAGGTTCACTGAATGCTTAGAAGGTGTAACAGGCCAGGCTGTATGTAGTTTCTGTGAGCTAATCCTCACAGCCCTATCAGGTAAGTGTTCTAGTTGTCTCTATTTTATAGGTGAGGAGACCAAAGCTTGGGGCATTGTCTAGGCTGATGTGTACTTAACACTTGCGTCTGATTTTTAGAAATGATATTTTTCTTCAAAACCATCCCTGGAGATTCAAGTTAGCCAGTTTTAAAGATTGAATAAGCTGCTACTTGAGACAAGAAAATGTCTTGAACACCCCAAACACAAGTGAGACATTTCTCCTCGGTCCTCCTGTGGATCTCCAGCTTTGCCTTTCTACTACTAAATCCATATACCTGGAATGACACCCTTGTCTCTGGGATATGCTTCCCCTGCAAACTGCCCCCAAATAATCCTAACATTCCTCATGCAGCAAGTCCCTGCAGTGGTTCTTTGGCGGTCTTGGAGACCCTGACCTTTGCCTTGCCCTAATGGCAAGTAGATCTTATCAATTCCCAGTAAGCAAGATCCCTTTCAAACCCCCACCCAGCCCACACTGGGGAAACATGGGGTTCACTTCCGTCAGTATAAAGCCCGTACTTTTTTCCTGGTTCAGCATTCAATAATCTGTTCCTGTATTCTACATCCCACTACTGTACATTCTGTGACAAGTCTAGAGTCTCATTTAAGGTGCTTGAGAAAAATACCTGTGCTGCTCACTATAGCTATATGAGTAGGACTAGTCTGTGGACTATATCACTCGGAATATTTAGCTACATCAGGACAGTGTCACCTGTCTTTTTCTATGTACTACAATGGTGTTATCATCTTGAGACCCAGAATACTTTAAAAAACTACTTAAAACTAGAAGTTAAAATATCACATCAATAACTACAACTTCATGGTACCTAGTTATTTTTATCTGCTGGAAGCCTACAAATGTGCTCTGTATATAGGCAGTGCTCAGAAATGCTTAGCTACCGGTGGCTCAGTATCACATCAAAAGCAAGGCAGGTGCCACTCAGAACTCAGCTGAGATATTCAACCATATGAACTGAGGTTTCTCAGAAAGCATGGCTTGGGAACCTGAGTCAAGTCCTCTAAGCACATCGCACCGCTTCATTCAAGAGCCTCAAAAGGAGGCAGCTGCTGCTACCTGTCCAATAGCCAGGGACGCTGTGGCTCAGTATTCAAGTCATTACTTCAGCTAGAACATACTCAGGATGTGGTAAGTCTAAACCCTAGGTTAAAAGGCAGATAAAGGGGACAAGAAAGATTTGTGGACACTGATAACTCACCATATAGTTATTCAAAATTATTTAAGCTTTTCCTGATTTTTTTTTTTTTTTGGTACTAGGGATTAATCCCAGGGTGCTTAACTGCTGAGCCATGTCCCCAGGCTTTTTTTGTTTTATTTAGAGACAGGATCTTGCTGAGTTACTTACAGCCTTGCTAAATTGATGAGCCTGGCTTTGAATTCATGATCCTCCTGCCTCGGCCTCCCAAGCTGATGGGATTACAGGCATGCACCACCAAGGCCAGCCTCTCCTACGGATCTTATGTCTTAAAACCAGACTGTTTTGCCCTTTGTTTAACCAATTCTACATGCCTATATTCTTTGAAGTAATTTTAAATTAGACACCACTCCAGGGTTGGTGCAGGGTGGCTCCACTTTACAACCTATGGCCTTTTGAAACCCTACAGTTAATAGTTTTAAAATGTGTGGACCTGGTCTGACATAAACTCTTCTGTTAGAGGGCTGGGATTATTACATGAGGCACAATAATACAATTTTGCATTTGTCACAGAATGTAGAGCAGGAAGGCCAGACCCCAGTGCACATGTGTTCCTCTCTCTTTGTGCCACTGTCACTCCAGCAGGTCCTTACCAGATGTCTTCTCTCCATGCCAGATGTCTTCTCTCCATTTCACAGGTGAAATGGTTTGTCACAGAAATGCTTTTTAGGTGAGTCTAGGGATATAGCTCAGTGATAGAAGGCTTGTCTGACTGGCACAAGGCCTGGGATCAAGCCTCACCATATTTTTAAAAAGTCCTAAAAAATAAATATTAAAAAAAAGTCCTTTTTCAGGTGACTTGCTTTTACCTACTTTCAGAGTCTGTGCGAGAAAGTGATATACATTCAACACACATGCAAGAAAGAAACAATGTAGTCAGGCACCGTGGTGCACACCTGTAATCCCAGTAACCTGGGAGGCTAGGCAAAGGATTCCAAATTCGAGGCCAGCGCGGGCAACGGGAGACCCTATCTCAAAATAAAAAGGACTGGGAATGTGGCTTAGTGATAGCATACCCTAGTTCAATCCCCAGCACTGCAAACAAAAACATTTGGCACCATATTGTGTTCCACAGGAGTTACAGAGGGTAAGAGACCAAGGAACTGTGTAGAATAATACAGCAGCTTTTAAGTGTACCTGTTAAGTTCAAGTGAACCCAAACAATAAGAGAACTACTAAGTTTCACCTCCCCAAACAATAGTGCAGGACAGCTCTGCCTCATTACTTACAGAAATGCAGTTATATCCAGATTAGTACTCAAAACATACAGCAACTACATCGCAACCCACCTTTGGAAAACAGACTATGTGAAGGAAGACAATCCAAGATGAAAAGTGTGGTTTCCAGAGCAATTTATTCATTAAAATCTATTCAATATGCCATCAACAGTTTTCGGTGTGTACTGTGCTGATAAATAGACACTGAGAAGATTTAACAAGTTCATCATTTAATAAGTCTGAATTCATTTTCACCACATGGTATTGTACACGGTCATCTGTTGAAACAGATTTCTTTTTAACAGATCTTAGTTTAAAAAAGTCATAGATACTGTGAGTTCTGTATAAACTGGTGGATAGCAAGTTAGTTCCTTTGTTTTGACTTATAAGCCTCAACTTCACCGCAGAATAAAGAATGTAGGCCAAAGAAAGCATAATCGGTCACTCGTATAGAACAGTATTGTTTCTATAATTTGAAGCTTTCTGAATGGACGGGTTCAGGCCTGATCCAACTGTAAAAAGATTACTTAATGAATAGACTATATGGAAATTGTACAAAATGTTATTAACTTTAATCATTAATAGCTTAAACAGCACTATATTACTAATTGCTATTCAAAATCAAAAACCTGTTTTTGAATCCCCGAGGAGGCAGCAGGCGTGCACAACCATGCCACCCTGTTTTTACGGGCGTGTCAATACATTTTCGAACAGAAACTTTGGCTTTAGGAAAGAGTCACAAACATTTAAAAGAATGGCTTTAATCATCATTTTAAGTATACGGTAGGGGAAGTGTGCTTTAATTAAATATACATCATACCAGTGATGCTGGCAAGGTTGAGATAGTTACTCCTACTGTTGATAGCTATAAAAACTAGTTTGTACATGATAAGACAATGAGAGGAAAAAGCAATCCCTTTGAAACAAAATTTTAAAATAAAAAAATGTTCACAGTGGTTTGTATCAACAGTATGCATTTTATGACAATAACATGTACAGATTCAGAGCACCCTAGGGCTCTCTTTATATCCTAAGGAAAATGAGCATTTACATTATTCATGGGTTGTACTGAATTTTAAAAAGATCAATTGTACACTTACTCCTAGACAGGATAACTGTCCTGGGGTGTACAGCTTTAACACCATCATTAAAGTTGTTTGCAAAAGGAATATTAAAAAAAAAAAACCTAAACACCTTTTCTTGGGAGTGGAGTGTCTTTCATTTGCTGTTATAACCAGCAAATGCCATTCATTAACTCAAAAATGGAAAGAGGGGCCCCCACAAACACAGATCTATCTGAGCAGGCTGACCAGTACACGTTACAGCTTTAAAAATGAAGGTTATATACTCTATGTTACAAGTCCCAACTAGGCAGTGTCAAAATGACATCTATTTCTTTGCTTGCTTTGTGATCATACCCCTTGGAGGTGTTACGGGTCTTGTGGCATTCGGCTTCTTTTTCTCTGCAGGCTTTAAAATCTAAAGAGATTAAAAAAAAAATACAATGCATTTTAAGAAATATACAACATAAAATCTTTATAAGCTTAAAAACCTCATTCAAATCTTTTGCTCAGAAAGGTTTCTGGATGTTTAAACCTGGCCCAACAACTTGGAAACCCTCACTCATGTATTAGCACAAACCAAGATGGCTTATAAACGCATGATGAACAAACACAATTCTAAGTCTGCAATGCCTCTAGCTACCACTACCGACACAAATTCTCAAACCCCTGAGATCCTTGCACAATTTCTGGGAGCTCCAAGTTCCCTCTGCAAAGTGGTAAAAGAATTGCTTTAATTCATTTAACAGGCTACTGCCATAAGATTTTGGTGGCTATATTTATGTTTCTGACTGTGTCAACTTGAAGTTGGCCATATTTATCATAATAAGCAATTGAGAAAAAGACTGAGGCAGACGATCACATGTAAATAACGCTTTTGTGCTGAGTGAAGGCCAAATGATGGGACAGTACTTTAACAAAGGTGCAGTAGAAATTAGATGAGAGAAAAGTGGGTTGAACTAAGTAATTACCCAGCACACTGCAGTTACTCCTATTTTCACATCAAGTGAAGACTTAGTTTTAGCCTAACATTACACTGGTGGTATGGTTTCAGATGATTTAAAAGGTGTAAGGAGCTAACACACTGAATTATTTCTACCTATTGGTAAGAACAATACAAACAGTTAATTCAAAACTAGGGGAAAAGTTCCATGACACCTCTTTTCCCTTTAAAAGGGATCCACATATTACTTAACTAGGACAGACCCTGGTTATGGGAGAATAAAAATCTAGCCTCCTCAAAGTGAATGAGCAATAGGAAGAAAGCAGCAATTATTTTTTTCTTAAGTCAGTATAATTCATACAAATAAAGGGAATAATGTTAAAAACATACTCTACCTGAAAGGAACACATTAGTGTTTCATCCACACTCATCATGGCACCTGCATTGTCAAACTCTCCACAATAATTGGGTGCAGAAAACAGAGTGACCAACTGCCTCTTTGCAAAAAATTCATATCCATCTTCAACCACCTTGGAGAGAAAATTTTTTCAGTGTAAGTAGATGCAAATTTTAAGTGAGTAAAACCACTCTTCAGTTTCCCACTGAGCCTGATATTCTGTAGGTTGTTTCCAGAAACACTTTGTATAAATAAGCAATACCTACCCACCAAAATCAACAAGGAGAATCTGTGCTCACACACATGCGCTTAAGTGTACATGTAAAATTCAAAATCAATACCTGATGGGCTCTACAAATAAGATCCAAATCATGCTTATGGAGAAATTTTGCAACCACTTCTGCACCAAATGTGAAGGACACTCCTCTGTCATTTTCACCCCAGCCTAAGACATCTTTATCGGGGTCAGACCACAAAAGATCACAAAGAAGACCTTGATCTGGTACATCAGTTGGTCGCATAATTCGCCGAATCTGCTCCATAGATTGAAGATCTGGTGATAAACCTATTAAATGAGGAAGAAGAAAAAAATAGCAGAACTGTTTTTGTTACCACTTCAGTTCAATTGGTCTATACACTCAATAACTCTGACACTGAAGTTTAAACTAAATCTATGGCTATGTTCTATTTATTCAGATTTGATCAAGACAATTACTCTAGCTTGCCTAGCCTGTATGAGGCCCTGGGTTTGATCCCTAGCACCAAAAACTAATCTGAATATGTGCTGGAATTTACTGTATGCCCTAATCTAGAGGGCACAATGTATTTCAACAGTACACAGTATAACTCAACATAAACAACCTTGTAAAAATTAAAACCCAATGACTTTGCCAGGAATGGTGGCACACACCTGTAATCCAAGCAGCTCAGGAGGCTGAGGCAGGAGGATCACAAGTTCAAAGCCAGCCTCAGCAATAGCAAGGCACTAAGCAACTCAGTGAGACCCTGTCTCTGAACAAAATACAAAAAAATTGGACTGGGATGTGGCTCTGTGGTCAAGTGCCCCTGAGTTTGATCCCTGATATGCCCCTCAACCCCCCAAAGAGTTCAGTGATTTTTAAAACTATTGCTCTGTGTGCCTCCCCTGTTAAGCGATGAAAATACAGAGTGATGACTGGGCACAGAAGATGCAGGTATTCAGGTGAAAGGCAGCTTTAGGATATCTGCTGTCCAAAGACAGTAATATATACTAGGACTGCTAAGATGTAGTCTGTTCTCATCTGAGTTCAAAATCTCATGTCCAACTTGACCCACCTCTGTTTAAGTATGGGAGGGCAGAGATCACACCTCAATTAAAGTGTTATGTTGACCCTTTGATGGCTGCTTAATTTCTGATCATACACAAAAAGAAATCCTCTTTGCAATTACTACTTGAATTACACCATACATAGCATAAACACTGAGCAAAGCAAAACGGCTTTTAGAAT